GTCCTTTCCCAGGGTTCCAGAGTTGGGTTGCCAAGTTCTTACTCCCCATCACTCAAATTTTTCCCAGTGCCCTCTTCTTTGGGGCCTTCTCAGTTTGTGCCTCTGTTCTACTTTGGTTTGGTTTGGGTTTTCTGTTTGGATCTCAGGTTTACAGAACCCTTAGTCTGTAGCAGTCTTATTAATGGTATGTGTAGCACCCACTTGTTTGTTTGTTTTTCTTTAATGAGATAGAGTCTTACTATGTTGCCCTGGCCTGCCTAGAACTTGCTTTGTAAACCAGGCTGGTCTCCAACTCACAGAGATCCAGCTGCCTCTGCCTCCTGAGTGCTGGGATTAAAGGAGTGCACCACCACACCCAGCTCATTTTATTCTTTTATTTTTAATTATTTTTGGTTTTTTTTTTTTGTTTTGGTTTTTGGTTTTTTGAAACAGGATCTCCTTGTAGCCCCAGCTAGTCTGGAACTCACTATGTAGACAGGCAGGTGTACTGGTTAGTTTTTGTTAACTTGACACAACCTAGTCACCTGTCACCTGGAAGAGGGAGCCTCAATTGAGAAATTTCCTCCATCGGATTGTCTAGTGGATTTGTCTGTCAGGCATTTTCTTAAATGCTGATTGATGTAGCAGGGCCCAGTCCACTATGAGTGGTACCATCCCTGGGCAAGTGGGCATGGCCTATATAAGAAAGGAAACTAAGCATGCCAGGGAGCAGCACTCCTTCATGATCTCTGCTGCAGTTGCTGCTTTCAGGCTCCTGTCTGACTTCCCTCAAAGACGAACTGTGTCTTGGAAGTACAAGATGAAATAAACCCTCTTTTCCTCAAGTTGCTTTTGGGTCATGGTGTTTTATCACAGCAACAGGAAACAAACTAGGGCAGCTAGCCTTGAACTCACAGAGAGTTCTGCCTGCCTTGGCCTCCCAAGTGCTAGAATTAAAGGCATATGTCACCATACCCATCTCCTAAATTTTAATTTAAAAATGTTATATTTTTATTTAGTGCGTATATACACAGGCACATTTGTGGAGATTAGAAGACAACTTTGTGGAGTCAATTTTCCCCATTCACCTTTATGTGGGTTTCAGGTATCAAACTCAGGTTGTTAGGCTTGTGTGGCAGGCAATCACCTTTGCCTGCTGAGCCATTTCCCCAGCCCCAGCAATCTTTTTTAAAGCATCTATGTGGTCTAAAATGTACACGTTGATTTTCATCTTTCTTCTGCTTACCCACATCTGCACTTAGTACATCTTTCCCACGGAGGATGACCAAGTTGGCGATAGAAGTGTTAAAATGAAGTTCCTTGTTGACAGACATTTTGCCAAGAGGTGGAAGGCCTGACAAAGGAGGTCGTACTTGCCAGTTGATACCTATCACAGAACGAAAGCAAGTAACCTTATAAACAGGTTTGAATGAAATGAGAGAAAATAAGTGTCTTAGTCTGGGCATGGTGGCACATAGTCTGGGCATGGTAGCACATGTCTACAGTTCCAGTGTTTGAGAGGTAAGGCAGGAAGACCTGGGGTGAGGAGCTTAAGGCCCTTAGAAAATCCACTCATACAGATCTATAGCTTTTTGTTTTTGTTTTGAGATAAGGTCCTACTCTGTAGCCTAGAACTCACTATATAGTTCAGGGTGACCTCCCAAGTGCTAGGATTGCAGTGCTTACAGATGTGAGCCACCATGTTTGCTTTTTTTGAGACAGAGTTTTGCTGTAGCCCAGGCTGGCCTCAAACTCACAATCATCCTTCCTCAGCCTTCACAGTGCTGGGACTATGGGCATGTGTGGCCATGCCCAGTTTTGAAGCTAGGTACGCCAAGACATTGTAACTTCTGCCTTGCTCTCTCTTGCTTGGGTCCTTCATTCCCTGTTGCTGGGACATGTTCAGTATTTACAGTGATAGAAAAGGAGCCAATCTTCATACAGAGCAATCTGATAACATATGAATAGTTCTAAAACTAGATCCTTCACCCTGGTTTGTGCCATAAATAACCATTCATATTCATATCTATATTCATATATTCAAAAAATTAGGCCGGTGTGGTGGCTGGTCTACATAGTGAGTTCCAGGACAGCTGGGGCTACAGGGAGACCCTGTCTCAAAAAGATTGAAAAAAAAAAAAAATAAAAGGAAAACATTCAGGATGGCTGTGTAGCTCAATGGTAGCATGCTTATCTAGCAAGTGAGACTGTAAATTCAATCTCCAGCACCACAAAAAAAAATTTATTCTGTTCAAACTTTGTCCGTAACTAATAGTAAAAAAAAACATTGACACCGTAAAGTCCCACATGGAAAAATGACTAAGCAAACTGTGGTTTATTGACCCAAGAGAGCCCAGGACGCCTCACCCTACCCTAAGGAACATTGTGCTCCATTAGATATTAACAGGTATTGCTAGAAAAACAAGTATTGGGGCCAGCAATGTTGGAAAGCATTACTTTAAGATGTGAACTTTCTACTCTCTCCAACCTCTGGCACTGTCAACCAAAATCTACAAGCTATTACCAGCAGATGGAACGAAAGTCCACTCTCATTGTAGTGAAACCTGTTACATTTTTATATAATACATGCTACTAAATACAGTAATTTCTAGTTCAACTTGAAAGACGACATGTACCAGTTTACTACATCACCCACCCCATGGAGACCATAAAGGACTTCTTAACATAAACGTTCAAAAAGAGCATCAGGAATGAAGACAGCATCAATAAAAGTTTGGTTACTAGGCAGGGTGTGGTGATGCATGCTTTCAATCCCAACAATCCAGAGGCAGAGGCAGGAGGAGCTCTATGAGCTCCAGGCCAGCTTGGTCTATATCGCAAGCTCCAGGTCCGTCAAGGCTACATAGTGAGACCCTGTCTCAAAAACAAAAGGAAAATTTTTTTTTGTTTGCTGACCGGGCAACCAGGATAACTGAAACTTCTGCCCACCCCTCTGCAGTCCTGGAAGCAAGCCAGGCCTTTCTAAAAGCAGAGGAAGCAGGACTAGTTGAAAGTCTATGAAGAGCAGTGAGAGGCCAGGATCCATACTTGCTCCTAGAAGCAGGCAGGTACCCTCTGCTCTTCTAGAAGGAGATTTCTGCTCTGAAGAGGCTAAACCAGTGAGGCCCAGCTTCAGTGACCCAAGGCACAGCCGTGCAGAGAATCTTAGAGAACACTGGGTCACTAGGTGGAAGTTTTTCCTACCAACTCTGAAAAGATTGGTGGCTGGACAGTATGAACCCAAGGCCTTGTTCCCCCTCTGTAAATGCTCCACCACTAAGATACAGTCTGAGCCCCTCACAGATTATATTCTATTCCTGATCCTGCTTTGTTCTATCTAGAAGTTTTCAGATTTTTCTATTTGTCCCTAATATTCTTAAATTCCTTAGTGTGGGGCTTTTTATCCATCACAGAGGAATACAGGGATACTATAAGGGCAGGGAGGCTTCTATTGTGATGTCTGTCTGTGCTTGTCTGTCTGCCTGTCTGTGTCTCTGTGAGCATATGTGCAGGTGCAGTGCATGGGAGCGGAGACCAGAAGAGGGCATTGGGTGTCCATCTCTATCACCTTCAGACTAATCCCTGCAGGTGGGGCTCTCTCCCTGAACCTGAGGCTTGGGTTTTCTCAGCTAGGCTAAAAGCTAGAAAAGCCTGGCAATCCTCTTGTCTCATCTCCCTTTATAGTTCAGTTTACAGGCATTCATGGGAGGCTCAACTTATTACATGGTTGTTGGGCTCTGAACTCTGGTGTGACTGCAAAGCAAGCACTCTTAACCAGTGAGCCATTTCTTTAGTCTCTTGTTTTTTGAGACAGGGTCTCATGAATTTCATGATGGCTTCAAACTTTCTATGTAACAGAAGATTATTTAAACTTCTGATCCTCTTGCTTCTATCTCTTGGGTGCTGGGATTACAGGTACACATCACCATACCCAGTTTATGCAGTCCTGGGGGTCGAACCCAGGGCTTTAAGCATGCTAGGCATGAATTCTACCAACTGAGCTACATCCTAGAACAGGGAGTCTTATGTTTCATTTACTGCTATATCTTTGGAACCTAGGCCCAGCAACACAGTAAACTCTCAATGACTTGCTGAGTATGTTCTGGGAATGGCCCCTTGTGGACATTGTGAAAGCATGTAGGTTTCATGTATGTAAGTTTTGCTCTACCTGGCCATTATGCTGACAAGTTCCCAAGTATCACACCAAGAAAATATGAGATGATCCAGTTTCTACTGCAGATTGGTAGGTCTTCTGATCAACTCAGCAAATGACACAACACAGGTTCCTGAATGGACCTATTCATCTTGTTCATATTGTGTCTCTAAGGCATGTCAAAGATCATTCAAGCTGGATGTGGTGGCACTTGCCTAAAATCCCAGCATTCAGGAAGCTGAGGTAGGAGAATTGTTATGAGTTCAAGCCCTACTTGAGTTAAAAGCGATTGCTAGTGGGGCTGGAGAAATGGCTCTGCAGTTAAGAGCATTTACTGCTCTTCCAGAGAACTCATGTTCAGTTCCCAGAACCACATGGCAGCTAACAATGGTCTGTAACTCCAGGGAATCTAATGCCCTCTTCTTGCCTCTATGGGCATTGTATGCAAGTGATAAACTTACACACATGCAGGCAAAACACTCATACACATAAAATAAAAAGGGTTTTTTTCTTTTTTTTTTTTTTTTTTTTTTTTTTTGTCTTTTTGAGACAGGGTCTCCCTGTAGCCCCAGCTATCCTGGAACTCACTATGTAGACCAGGCTGGCCTTAAATTCACAGAGATCTGCCTGCCCCTGCCTCTGGAGTGCTGGGATTAAAGGCATGCGACACCACGCTAAAAAGTAAGTATTTTTAAAAAAGTGATTACCAGACCAGCCAGGGCTACGTACCTTGTCTAAAAAAGCGGGGGAGTTAGAGAGTTCAGTGATTAAGAAAGCATAACTCCTGTAACTCCAGTTCCAGAGGAATCTAGCACCTTTGACCTCCTTGGGTACCTACACTTACCCTCATCCCCTGACATAATGAAAATAATTTTTTTTTTTAAGACAGAGTCCCGCTATCCTGGCCTGGAACTTGCTATGTAGACCAGGCTGGCCTCAAATTCAGAGATCTGCCTGCCTCTGACTCCCAAGTGCTGGAATTAAAGGCATGTACCACAATGCTCAGCCAAACATTTATTTTGTTAAAGGATTTTTTTGTGTGTGTGTGCCTGTGTGTATACACCACATGTATGCAGTACCCAAAGAGGTGTGCATAGAAGGGGGTGTTAGATCACCTGGAGCTGGGGTTACTGGTGGGTGTGAGACACCCAACATGGGCGCTAGGAACTACATTCTGGTTCTCTGGCAAAGCAGCAAGTGCTCTTAACAGCTGAGCCATTCTCTAGATCAGGTGTTTGTTTTTTACGGAAAAGTATCTGCTTAGGTTATTGGTAGATATAGAAAACAGTGTTTGAAAACAAATACAATTATTAACAATTCTAGAGGGAAAATAAGTATACGTGAAACAAAGTGTAATCTGCAAACACCGTACACAGATCAACTATGAATTAACATTTACATAGTGAAAGTAATAAAACACTAAAGACTGGTCTGATCCAAAAGTATGTTATAGCTGGGTATGGTGGTGAATGCTTTTAATCCTAGCTCTTGGGAGGCAGAGGAGGCAGATCTCTGTGAGTTCCAGGCCACCCAGTCTGCATAGCACATAGAGAGTTCCAGAGCAGCTGGAGCTACAGGGAGACCCTGTATCAACAAAAAAAGTATGTTATAGCTGGGTGTGGTGGTGCATGCCTTTAATCTCAGCACTTGGGAGGCAGAGGCAGGAGGATCTCTGTGAGTTCCAGGCCAGATTGATCAACATAGTGAGTTCTAGGCCTCCTGGAACTACAGGGAGACTGTCTCAAAAAGACTGAAAAAAATTTTTTTTTAAATTATAGCTGGGTGTGGCGGTACATGCCTTTAATCCCAGCACTTGGGAGGCAGAGGCAAGTGGCTCTCTTTGAGTTGAAGGCCAGTCTGGTCTATATAATGAGTTCCAGGTCTGATGGGGCTGTCTCAAAAAGAAAAAAAAATTTTTTTAATTATGAAGAGAGCTGGGCACAGTGGTACATGCCTGTACTCTTAACACTTTGGAGGTAGAGGCAGGAGGATCAGGAGGTCAAGGCTAGTCTTGGTGACTTAACAAATTTGAGGTCAGACTAGGCTATATGAAACCCTGTTTCAAACAAACCACCAAACCAAACCAAAATAAAAATGGGCTGGAGAGATGACTCAGTGGATAAAGCACTTGTAGCCTAAGCCTAAGGACTAGAGTTTGGATCCCAGCACCCATATAAAAGCCAGGGAAGGCATGGCAGCCTGCCTGTACTCCCAGAGCCAGAGAGGCAGAGGAT